TTCTTTTCAAAAGTACTTCAAAAGCTTTTTTGGGGGAGTTTTTCCTTACCCAAATTGAGGGTCTAGGGACAAAGGGTATAACCAGTTGTACAGATTGTAAAACCCCATCAGGCAAATTATGTTTCTTATAAATAAAATCTGACTTGTCATTTTTATTTTATTACATGTCCCTTTTTTTGTCTTGACAGTAAGCATATACCATTTACTTTTCAGGATTAGTTTTTTCTTGCAACCTTCATCCAGCCTCAAGGTTGCCTCTCTAAAAAAAGGCGCGTACCTTTCATGAAGGAAACTGACCCTTAAACCCATTAAAAAACCATTTCCGGATAAAGAATGAGAAAGAATAACAGTGATAGGGTTAATGGCCACTGTATTGCTGTGTACACTTTAGTTACTGTATAATACTGTATCTCATGTCTACTCTTGTGTAAACTAATACCCACCTTCCCTCCACAGTTTTTATAAATTGAGCTGTCTGTAAATTGAGATAATGTAAATAGACAGTGATGGAGAATGTACTACTACTATGTATGAAGATGAATTAAACAAATAGATGATGGCTTTAAGTGGGCACAATAAGCTTCAGACCACTTTGAGCTCATCCTGTTTAGAAATTGATCCCTTACCTAAACTTCATACTCCTGCAGCTTCTTCCCTTTCAGCTGCTGTGATGGCACGTCAAGTTAAATACACAAATGTAAAACAAGGTAACAAAAATACATAATCATACAGTCTCCACTCAGGCTAATATGTAACAAATATGATGCCCTAATTTGGCTGTCAACTGTACTGCCAAAGACAATATTTCTGCAGCCAACAGGTAGGGAAATAGCTTTTGTAAAGAGTGATAGAAAGGAGAAAGGAGATGGTGACTTCCCTGCTCATAGAAACAATAATCATAAATCCATATTGGCCTGTTTTCTATTCTTTTGCATGCTTGCAATAGCGCTCTATTATGCTTTGCCACTGTTTTAAATAATAATGTGAAATATTTTCATTTTTTCACAATTAAACATTCTTGTTGAATTTAGCTTCAGTTTATTGTATATCCTGTTTGTTCTTTAATAGTCGTATACACAGGCGTTACCCATTATACTGATAACAGGCTATATGAAGATGATGTGCCACATGATGTTCAAATATTTCCAGAGTCAAAAATGGAGTCAGCTGGCAAAAATAGGTTCTTCAATATGAAACAGATGCAGCGAGCTTCAGATGTCTGGCATCAGATCCATATACCAAAGAGCGAGTATAGGGTTTCTTTGCAGAGCTGCCATTATGTATTCAATCAGGCACCCATCACACTGGGAGCTTTCTGTAGAACAGGCAGCAGCTCAAGTTGTGCAAGGAGCATACCTCTTAGAAAGAAATACCCATACTGTTGAGCAAATTCACTTTCACTATCACCACACTATCACTCTTGTTATTGGTCAGATGACCTCAAGGGAACCGCAGCTCTGAGCCACAAGATCCAGTGGCTTGACCTTGTGGCTTGGAACTGTGGGAACTGAAGCAAATGTAGACAATCGTAGTAAAAGGAGAAATGAACGAGCCAGGTCGGGATCAAACGACTTACAACTCTTTCACGCAGATAAACTCTCGAAATGCAGTGAACAACGGAGCAGAGCTTCTGGTGAGTATGAGTGGGGGATAAAGTGCACGAACAGCAGCACAGAGGAGGAGAAATACCCCACTCTGGGCCCCTCAAAGTTGGTTTAATATCAAGAACTGGCTCGTTCTGTCTCTCTGTCTCTCATACACACACACAGACGCGCGCATGCACACACACCAAGAACAGTATGGCCTCAGACCTGGCAAGCAGCACTCCAGTTCTTGGAGCAGCTTTCTCTCTAATTTAAAGTTGATTGCCGTGGGCCCTCTGTGTGTGACTAGTGAAATATGAGTGTGGAGAAGAGAGTATGGAGGCTTGGACCCAGTTTAGGTCTGTGTGCTTGTGATTATGTGAAGTTTTTGGATCGTCCGGGTTTGTGCCTATGCATGTATATGTGCATGCATGAGTCTGTGTGAAGGTCTAAGTGGAGCCTGTGCATACTTGTGTGTATGTGTGTGTGTGTGTGTGTGGTTTTTGGCCGGGGCTAGTGCAGAGATTGGACTGCCAGTGGGAGCTGTCTGCAGGGAATCAGGCGAAGCAGAAGGCAAACTGAAAAACAGTGCCTTTTTCAAAGTAGAATGAGGTGTTTGGAAGTGAGTTTGAGTGAAGTGAACTGTACTAAAACTGAACTAAAGTAGATTAAGTTAGACCTTTGTAGGTCAGTAAACTGCAAGAAGATTTGGATTTTGGAACAATGGGGCAGGTGTAGGTTAAATCCCTGTCTCTGATCTAAATGTATTTTAGTGTGTGTCGCCTTAACTTTTAGGGTTTTCATTAACATTTTATCTCACGCCCTGACAGGCTCCAAAATGTGTAGCTGTCTGCCATGTTTGAAATAAGGTTTTACACTATTCTCAGATATCCAAGCCCCTTGGATTTCCCTTATTTTTGTGGACAAAATGTTAATGTACTGCTCACGGAGTGTATTTCTGAATAATCTTTTAACAGATTTCTTTTGGTCGCAATGTTTGTAAACCAAAAATACACTCCAGTTTTCCTTTTATAGAGACAGAAGACCTGGGACTCCATGGGCAGGCTAACTTCCCAGAGGTAAACAGCAAGGTGCCTTGTGTCTAGTTTTTCTAACACTGTGCACATTTACAGTCGTTTCACAGCGGTAAAGTGGTCACAAGAGTGGAAGAGCTGAGGTTCTGCTAGACGGTATCAAAGCCAGCTTTCTTTAATGTACTGTGAAATTAAAACTGAGGAGCATCTTCTCGATCGGGCCACCCAGTCTGTGAAGCACAATCCATTAATAGCAAACACTGTGCTAACTGACAGAGACACTGCAGGGGGTGGCCAGGTGTGTGGCTCCTCTCTCCACACAGCCTATGGTGACTGGGACCAAACAACAACTAGCCAATATCGCAAACTGGAAACCACTGAAAACCTGGCAAACAGGACTGGCTGAAGCAATTCTGTCGTTCGGTTTTACTGCCACATGGGAGTGCAGGAGGAGAATTGCCTCCAATTGGGCAACAGACGGCCACTAAACTGCAGTCTATGAGTGTGAAGCCTTCCCTTCCATGTCTCAAGTAACCAGAAGTGGCAAACCACTTCTACAAAAGAGGGGGAGAGTCATACATTGGTCAGTACCGCCAATTGTGATGAGGACAACTTTACCCTTAAAGAAGGAAACACACACCAAACTCTGACCACCCAACAACGGATCATGCATGACTCCTCCGTACTGAATTCTGAGCTTATTACAAAAGACTAAAATCCTTAATGAATCCCAAAATGCCATCCTTTGTCAGCATTTAATGTGTGATTTTCTATATGATTTGAACAAACAGAAAACTTCAACCAAAAACGACCAAACCAACTCAATGACCACCTAAAGCTGAAATACTAATACTTTCAATACACGAACGTAAATCTCCCTCAGTGCCCACAACATGTGCTCTGTACAACATTACATATTTTCACCGCGTCATCTCTTTGAAGCATCGCAGACCGGCCGTGCGTGATAAACATGATAAACGAGCGTACGCTGACGTCATGTTTCAGGATTTGTGGGCAAGGTTCAAATTCTGCCACCGGTACGCAACGTGCAATGTTACACGGCGATGCAAGAACACAGATCCAACATTTGAATCTTGCCCCTAAACAAGTTTGACTTTCTCAGTGGATTGGAGCAGAAGAGCGGCGTCTCCCTTCGAACGATGAACTCTGACACACATCTCGCCTCAAATGGGGAGACATCTGAGGAAGACCAACAAATTGAGTTAATTTGGAGCAAAAGAGCTGGCAGCCAAATCTCTCTGCCCTTCTTCTGCCATCTACCTTTCCCTCTCCAACTCCTGAGACGCCCCCAGGCTTCGTCTTTCTGCCTGGTGTGTTTGCATTCCAGTTGAGCTCTATTTAAAGGCTTGATTACTCCGCTGGCTGGAGGAATGCACATCTGTACAGAGACCCCGTCCCACTGTCTCCTGCCTGCCGCTCTCTGTCTGTCTGTCTGTCTGCCTGTCTGCCTGCATGTGTGTAAAGTATTTGTTTCCAATTGCCGACATGGTGCATTAACCATTACTGCTGCCCCGGAACTATACTTGTGCATGTAAATATACAAAAAAGAGCGAGAGCAGGATGGAGACTAATGTTGTTTATCACATCAACAAGTGCCTTTGTATGACTCCCAATTTCAACGCTTCGTCTAAAACACTGTCAATAGTGTTCCTGTGGTTGAATTTGAGAGCTAGAAGCAAAACAAGTGAATGAAAGCCAATGCACAAACAGTGCTTTTTAAATGTTCTTTACCAATAAAATATATACAGTGGACACAGCTCACAACCCACACTTGCCACAAAAATACCACAAAAATACCACACAGGCTGTGAGTCCATTACAGTTCATTCATTTTAACAGTATAATACATTTTAAATCAAGCCAAATTTCTTTTCACCAATAACAGGTCTAAATTAAAGTTGAAGCCCAGCAACATGTTTCATCAACGGTGAAGCCCGTGTTCAGTTTATCGCACAATTACCAGACATAAAGTAACAATACATGACAGAGTAACGCCATTCATTTATGTGTGTTTGAGGCATAATTATACGGCATTTAATTAGAAGACATGTTATATATAGCAAGGGTTCGGACTGCTATACAGGCTCAAGAGGGACCAACATGTAGGCTAGCAGCATGACACATCCCCACCGTGAATAACATTGGAGTGAGTTTCCCCTCTGTTCTCCTGTTCCCTCTGTTCCCCCCCGTTCCCTCTGTTCTCCTCCTGTTCCCTCCTGTTCCCTCTGTTCCCTCCTGTCCTCTCCTGTTCCCTCCTGTCCCGTGTAGTGAGGCGGATAAACTTTTCGCCCCCCACACGCGCAGCTTCCTAGCCGCTAAATCCCAGCCGCCCGGTTTGAACAGTGTAAATCACCAAACTTACCTTGGAAAATGTCTCCCCCCGAGTCAAACAGGCATTATTATATTGTCTTCTTCCATGGTTGGGAGTTTGTCGAGTTGTTCTTCGGCTCCCCGGAGAGACTGGAGACGGATTAGCGGGGCAGGAGAGCAACAAAGTCGGACAAGGAGGAGGAGGAGGGGAGGAAGGAGGCCAGGCAAGTCGGCCGCCACTTGGTTGGAGGAGTCGGCTGTCAATCACCCTGGCTATATGGGCGAGTCCTAACTGTAAAGGGAGATTATGGTGGCTGAGCTATCAGCACTGATCCCAGGTCGGAGGTCTGAGGAATGTGTATTGGAAAAACACGTCCAACAGGCGTTGTAAGGTGGTATTTAACATTTTATTCATTTTTAATTTTAATTAATGCAAATAACCAAACTATTTATGCAGTGGCTTTATATAAATATATCTATAAAAGCCAGTGATAATAAAAAAAATACTTAACTATTAATTTTTTTTTATGTAATTGATAATGTATTTATTTTAATGCATAGATGTAAGATAATTTTCAAATAATGAAACTATACAAAACCTTTTTTTTATGATGAGCTTTTGCATTGGTTTATGTCAGGGGTCTCAAACTCGAAGCTTGGAGAAGCTTCTGGTAAGAAAGTGTAATATTCTGAAAATATTTCCATTACTTAAATCATACTTAGCAAAAAAGAAAAATTGTCAGGAAATGGCACCCTGCCTGTTTGAGACTCCTGGTTTAAAAGAGTGGGAAAAATGGTGAAAATGTGTGCCAATATAAATACATTGAAATAACATGAATTATCTCAATTAGTGGTAAGAACAAGTAGGACATGAGGGACATTTGTGTAAACTGTGTTGTCTCCCACTAATTGTACACATATGTGTCCAAAGACATTGAATATAGCAACATAGTCCACAAATGCTCTTTTCAGCCAGCTCATTAAATCAGTTCAACCATCAACTGATCACAATTGGCTGTCAAATAGTTTCCCATTTACACAACAACAAGTAGCATCAGTCAGGAGATGGGGCCGGTAATCCAAACTTTGAATAATACATCTACTGTATGCTTAGTAAAATCCTGAGCCTGGAAGTAAAAACAAGCTTTTCCAGATTTTACACAGTTATCCAGCCAGATTGTGAAAACCTGCTTCATGAGCTTACCTGTTATGTGATGAGTACAGAAACACATTAAATCCATTAATGGCCCCAGTGCTCTGTGCAATAAATTGGATGATAGTAACATCTCATTATCCAAAGTACTGACCTTTTGTTCTCCCTCGTGAATATAAATGGAGGTTGGAAAACACATCTGTCAATGTAACACGCTCTCATACACAGCCTCGAAATGACCGTAGGGTAGAATCGACACCTCTCTGATACTGTCAACAGAAACTGAAGGGTTATTCTAAACAAACATAAGATTCATTGCAAGGGTGTCATATCAGATTGCATTTCATTGTACAGGGGTGCATAATAAACAGGTAACTCTGTACTGTAATGTCTTTAGTCTTGCATGATTACGACACATCTCATACAGACCACATTCAATTTTTCAACAGTTACAACAGTACACAGTAGTAGAAGCCATATGCTCTATTTTGGGCTGTTTATTTGTGAATCAACTTTGACCTTTGACCTGGACAAACTGGACAAGAACAATCCGGATGAAAAATGTGGCAGTTGGTATCCCGTCCACTCATCAGGCAAACAACACAGACATCAATTATTCCGATGAAAAAGGGGAATTCCAATTTGAACTAATCCAGCCACCCCCATGCTGACCCTGACCTGTCAGTTGGAAGACTTACAGTCTCATTAGGAACAGGAGAGCAATAAACCAGGACCAGGCCTTTAAAGAGAATTTTACTTTCATTCTCAAATTAAAAGTAAAATGGTGTACATTCAAATCTTTTTTTAACATTTTAGGCTGTAGTTTGTGTTGTTGTTGGACTGGACTGTGCTTCTTGTTTCCTGACAGCTGTCCATCTTTTCTTTCTTTTTATCTGGCTCTGAGTTTATCCGTCTGTCCATCTGCCTTACTGTATGAATCAGTGCACCTGTCAGTCTGTTCCCATCTGCCTATCCTTTGTCTCACCTGTCTTTATCTACGCTTCCCCTGTCAGAGCTGTCAGGTTTTTTTTGTATATCATTTAGCTATCTCTGTTTATGTTGTCTTTTCTTCTAACTTATCTAACACTTCTCTTATCGTCCATATTCATGTGCATCATCATTCTAGGCTTAATTTTAGCAGCTATGATTTTTTTCTGGTTCCTTTTTTATTATGCATAATGTATTTATAACATACAGTAAATCATCTTCCTCGTTAAGATTTTGTACTGTAACATTTTTTGATGGCTGTTTATGATAGAAACTGTAAAATAAATGTGAATTTACGATAACATATTGTATGATGGACTTGTTTTATTGACTGAACTGACTAGTTTGTACAGTACTCCTGCTTAAAATCCCAGTTTTTGACATTTCTGGAACAATGATAAATAGACCTTTTTCACAGCAACCATTTTGACATGAAATAGTAGGGTAAACACAGGTGCTACCAATGATACTAATTAAGGTTTCATTCCAGTTAGTGTAGCAAAGCCTTTCCAGTTAATCAACATGCACAATAGCAGCACTCTGTTCAACCTAAATGGAACAGAGCCCTAATTAGTATCACTGGTAACACTGTGTCTCCTATTTCATGTCAGAATGACCCTATGAAAAAGGGTCTATTACATGCAGTCAGGAGTAACCGCCTTATTAAGGACCACTACAGATGAAAAGCGCAGTGAGTATTGAGGAGAATGAACTTACGTGTATGGCTCTCTTATCTCTATTCACCAGGCTACTGTGCTTTTACACTTTGAAGTTGCTCATAAAGTGCACTGTCATTGTATTCAAGTTTCTCTGTTATCAAACACAACTCTTGAATGACAATGCAGTAATTTAGCCTCTTCAACCACCTGTTGCATTATGTGATATGGTTCTGCTTCCCCCTGCTGTGCATTCTGACTCATTACAGGAGTCTGTTAGCAGAGGTAGTTTGCATCCGTGAGTCTATAGTCAGTGGTTTGCACACACTATCTAATTTCACTACTAACCTTATCTATCAGGTATGTGCTTATTTTGAACCTGTATGGTTATATTTAAGTGTAAGGGTTTATATGCAGCTTGAGCGTGATTAATTAGGCTAATAAGACACCTAATTACCTCAGTAAAGGACTGTGAAGGAGTTGCTCACAGTAACAAACCCACACATTATTTTCACTCAACTCTGACAAAGCTTTTCAGCTTCTTTCAGCTCATTGTCTTTGTTTGGTTCAGTCTCATCTCTTTCATGAACTTCATTTCCAGCATCGGTAGGAAGCTGTTTTCAGCAAAGAAAAAGCTCCAATAAACCCAATGTACACTATCTGTCGGGCACCAAACAGACTGGTGAAGACAGAGTAACATCAAGATAAAGAGCCACATATATTTCACTTTCTTTTTAATATTGTTTGGCCATTTTAATATTGGGAGGCCATCCCTCCCATATAGTCTTCTCAGTGGTTGGTGAAGACCAAAACAGAGCTAAAAGGAAAGTGGCTATTGGACCTAAATTAGTCATGGGGCCAGAAAGACATCTCCACATTAATGTTAATGTTGCCTCTGAATGTAAGAATAGACTTACTGTCTGCCAACATGGTTGCCTTAAAAACTTCACAAACCAATCTCGTGTCAGGGCTGCAGCTTGTTGTGAAGGTGTTGTGCCCCCTCATAGCCCACGCAATCACTCTTTTAGCAGGCAATGAACCAGTGCTCTGTCGGTGAAAGTTAATGGAGTGGACCTCTCTAATTTTCTTGCAGACAATCAGCATTTAGAATCTGAATAAGGCTGGTACACCTGGAAGCACCATGCAGAAAGAGTACATTATCAACACATTGCTGTTAACCATAACTCTGTTTTAAAGTTGAGTGAGAGGCATCCTATCACTCTTCCTGTCTGTCAGTCAGCAGCTGAGGACATCCAGTTCGCTATTCCACTCAGTTCCACCCACTGATGTTTGTGCAGTTATTCACTGCTATCAGTAGAACTGTAATGTGGTTCTGCTGCTTACTGTAGTTTGCACAGTGAATCAGGTAAAACCAGTTGGGATTGAGTCAGAAAAGTGCCTCATCCACTCATCCAAAGAAAGCAACAAAATTCACATTCACACGTCACATTGGCAGGCTACACACCCACATAACACACTTGACTGCAAACAAAGAGCACAGAAACACCAGTGCACACACACACACAATGGCTCACTCTCTGTCACTCGCGCACCAAAGCCGCTGATGGTTGTTAAATCCCTACATGACGTGATTGCCAGGCAGCGGGTGGGTGTGGTCTTTGCTCGCTTGTTAAACATACCAGAACTTAAATGCTGAACAGCCACTGCCATTCACTGATGACGCCCTCCCTCTTTCTCTCTTCCTCACTCATTTCTCTCAGTCCGGCTCACTGTTGCTCCAGCATTCACTTGGTGAAGTCCTGTTTTTTTTCAACATCAGAAAGGTAAAGATGTAATTAAGATTTAATGTAGTTTCTCTCTGTGTAGCCTTTTCTATATCTGTCATTATCTATTGCATTATTTTATGCTTTTAATGTCTCTCCTGTTTTTTTTTTTTGCTGCTTTCTCACGATCAGTTTGCTGCAAGTGGTTCAGCTCCAGTAAAGTGTCCTGATCATCTGAAGCCTTTTTCTGGAGATTCATCCTTAACACACTGCTTTGTGGTGATCATTAAGTAAAAATGTCGGTCCTGTTGTCAGTGCTGATATGCCTTGTTGTCCAGCTGTGTATGGGAGATCAGCCTGTGGAGGAAGTCATCACAACAAGTAAGTCCTGATATGAGAACTTATCACTTAAGACATGGGGAGTTACAGAGGCGAGACATTTAAAAATAATATAGACAGAGAATAAACTAGTGTTGTGTTGTGTTATCTTCCTTTGGGAGAACAGACTTTGTAGCTTAATATCATTTTCAAGAAATTGAAATTGAAACAGGAGACAGACTCAAGACAAACACACATGTAATATATCTGGTCAATTAATTGGCAGATAAACAAAATGATGATTAAAACAAATTCAAAGATTGAAAAGATTGTATCTTTAAAGCTCCTTATAATACTGTCCTGATGTCATTACCCTGATATTTACTCACTATATTAATGTTAAGAAGTGAATCATCCATAAAATGTTAGGAACAGGGAAGTACACCCTTGAATGTTAACACTTTCTACTTGCTCATAACTTTATAATCTCCTACCGGTCTAGTAGACTATTTTGTGTTTATTTTGAATCTATTGTAAGGACAACAAGTCCTTTCCTGATTTATCTTCTGAACTCTGATAAGTTGATGTGGATAAAGGAAAACATAATTTAATTCTAACCAAGTTTTTTTTTTACAGTGTACACACTCTTTTGTATGAGGAGATAAAAATAGAACAGGGCCTGCAAAATGAAACAATGACAACAACGTTGGCACCCGTGTCAGAATCATGACTAACAATCTAGAAACCAGACAAACAAAACATTTGTATCACTGCCAGTTTAACTTTGTGCGTTCATATGCCAATTGTAATACAATGAAATGAAACAAATAATCAGTGTGTTTTTCTACAGCACTTTACAGGCGAACCACAAAAGAAAAGATAGAAATAGAATACTATACATTAAATAAAAGACATATAAACATAACAAATTTAGGCAACAACTCGAGGTAATGACAAGGAAGTCAGCTTATTTATTTTCATCAGCTGGATCACTCCCATCTGATTACTGAGAAGGCAGTCAAACAGGAAAAACACAAGTACATGTAATACTGGAAAACATGCAGCAGTAGTTAATTGGCCATTAATAGTATCAAGTTAAGTAATACAGTGATTGAACCTTAAATGATTTTAAACAATTAAAAATACATTTATTGTGTGGACATTTACATTTTCTGCCTGTATGACTCAATGGCAAAAGAAGTTGTGCATGCATGTACTCAGTCTGTAGACAGTGACTCTACTGCTGTCTGGAAACCTTTGGCTGAGTTAGCAGGCAGAGAAAGTCATCATTCGTCACAGGCTATTTAGTTTGGCAGAGTGGAGTTTGGCTTGGGAGTGTTTGGGAATGAAAAATAATCAATCATGGCCACTCAGTACCCATTCACCAAATTTGTCCAACACCAGTGGCTTCTGTTAGTGAAATGATTTCACTGGGACATTCTGGTTGGTTCAGATTCCTATGTTCACATGTTTAGTGTACATAAATAAAAATGATATGTTTACTGTTGCTTTATCAAAAAGTGCAACTGATAGAAGCTGCAATCCAAAAGAAGTTCACTAAGGTTGCTCTCAATGGAGTTTTTGTATATGTCATATGTCTCATACACTGTTTGATGGTTAAAACTGGGTTTGTTTTGGTTTGAATTAAATTATGTAAGAGAGCAGGTTGTTGTATGTAAAGTACAATCCACAGTGTAACGTCACATAATTTAGGCAGAAATTAAAGTAAAGAAGTAAAGTCAAGTAAAGTAAAAGGTTTTTGTCTTTTCATGACTGTGTTGATCTTTCTTTTACATGCACATTGCATATAATGATGTCGTACATTGGATTCTACATAATGTGTCTTTAAAGAGCAACTCCATATTAAGTCATGTATGGAAGAAAAGCTTTGTTGCACTGACCACAGTCAGTCACAGTCGTCTTTCTGATGTCTGCAATGCCAACTTGAATGTATTGTAGGACAATAATACAAAATGTACGTCTGTGCTTGATAGCATGGGGGTGGAACATGCAGGATACAGTAAAAAAACAGGATTTTTAACCAGTGCTTACTTACTATAATGTTTATATTTAGCAGGTATAATACCATGTTCACTGTCTTAATTTTGCATCTATTTAATAGTTGTTGAGATATTTCAGTCTGGACCAAAGTGGTGGAACGGATTAGTGCGATACCATATTGGTGTGGCTAAAAATTTTTTAGTATTTGCATTATTTTGATTGGCTGGGCCACCCAATGTACAAGAGCTGCAACTATAAATACTGCTTCTCTTTCCTTGGGAAAACCTTTCTATTTTTGGCCTGAGGATTGAGGCTTGGTTTGGCAGAGTAGTGAAGATGGTTTGGCAGTGTAAAATATTTGGTGGTCTTATAGTTTCCAAGTCCTTGATTGATGTTCTGGACTGAAACAAATTTTCAGGATGAACGAGCATAAAAACCCCAAACAGAATACACACAATCATAACACTGGGTTTGTGCATTGATATAAGTATGAGTAGTTAATTGCTCAACTTCTTTATGTGTATGAATGAATGCATTTTAGTGTGTTATACTGTGCTACATTTTACAGAGAGCATAGAATATATGTTACTCAATCACTGTTGTCCCACCAGTAGCCATTATGCAATTATGTGAAATTTAACTTGTGTCTGTGTTTAATTTTCCTCACAGGAAAAGTGCCTCTCCTGGGTGGCTGGTCTGACAGGAATCCAGAGTCAGCTGAGGTTCAGAGTGCAGTCCAATATGCTGTGAACATGTTCAACACACACTCCAAGGCCAAGAAGATGTTCAAGCT